GGGGATAAGAAAATTCATCACTTCAAGAAACACTGAAATTTAGATATAGATAGACATCAGTCACGGATAGCCAATTAGGGTATCCTTTTATCATAAAGCTAAAGTGTGAAGTTTAAGTGTCTCCTTCTTTTTTAGATTATATATAAAAGGGGGATGGGGAGGAGTGGGAATTCTAACCCTAGCCATTAACTATACCATGTAATATGCCAACAAACATTCCAAAATAATATCTAATTACACCCTTCCTAGTCTTTTCTTCCATACCCCAAGTTCTTTGAGGTGGAGGAAAATATCTTTGCCTGCTTAGAAGTATGCATTACTAGATCCTATGTTTTGTTGTCTTCTAATTAATAATTATATTGTTCTAAAGACATTATAGAAACTACACACTTTTAACAATTAATTAATGGGTTTCATTTCTCTTGCATTGTTGAAAAAAAGTTATATGTATCAATCTATTATAAATATATACTACGGATAGTATATAGTTATAATGATAACATTATTTTTTTTCTCTTCGTAATGTCAACCGATAATGTCTGAGAAAAGAAATTTTTTTTTAATATTATAGTTATATATTATCTGCAATACATAATTGTAATGGATTGTACTTCATATAACTTTTCATTGGTGGCAGCAACAATGATTTCTCTTAATTAATTGTTTGGTTTCTTCTTTCTATGTGATTAAGTGTTTCTTTCCCTTTTCTTTTTAAATATATCAAATGGGACACATACATTGGAAAGGATGGGAGGGCAGAGATTCCACTTCCTTTAATTGAAGACAAGGATGGGGCACCCTTCAAGTTTCAACACCTGTTACCTTAACCAGGACTTTGTTCCATTCTTTGCCTCCCATGCTAACTTCTTCGGATCCATCCTCTCAAATATTAAACTACTTTGAGGTTTTTCTAAAAGGAGCAAAATACCAATATGTTATGTCCACTAGAGACCATCTTGAATAAAATCAAAGCTCATTCAATTGTTTCTAGCCCTCTTTGCACCTTTTTTATTTCTTACATCACCATTTTCAGATTCTGTCCCCTATCGATCGTTCACTCCTATTACAAAAATGTTATTTTATTATTTGAAAAAAAAACACTACAAAATACTAATATGTTTTTTTAGAAGAGTAATTATTACCGGTGTAAGAATACAATTTTTTACCTCTAATCTTGGTCACTGATCTACTTATATCCAGATAATTATAAAATAAATAAATCAAAACGGTTAGATATAAATAAATTAACAGTTGGCAAATTCTTTTAATATACAACTACAAAATATCATTATTATATTATATGTGTACAATTAAACGTTAATACTTGTTTCACACACGCGGAGAAAGAATCAAAAGCATCGTTAGGAAGAACCCGTCCAAGAAATCAGGAAGATAATAACAATGTTAGTATGATGAAATGAAAGAGGGTAAAATGTTGGGTTATTAGGTCATCTAAATCATTAATATTATATAGCAGGGTGGATAGGAAATGCAAGAAAAGTTTCTTTGTTAGTGGATGGTCAAATGGACTGAAGCATAATGGCCTGTAAAGCTTTTTTTTGTGTCAGAATAAGGAAATAATTGAAGTGATGAATTTTCCTTTTAGTCATTATGTAACTCACAGATTTTGCACATATGGCAATGCAGCAGATAGAAAGAAATTGGAGACAACTGTGTACATACACAAGACAGAGAAAAAGGAAAGAGATCAAAATTCAAGGGTATATATTGTGTCGTTGAATTTCCTTATCTGCAATTCATCATGATTATCCATGCATGGAAAAATTAAAAAGTTCACCACAAGTGTTATTTTGGAGAATTTATTCACCACAAGTTTATATTACATGGATGCTATTGCATTCTAGCTAGTGTCATTTTATGTATGACATGGTTTGTCTTTGAAAGGTACTAATTCAGTTTTATACTATTTTATTTGAAAAAACATAATTAATCAATTGTAGGAAAAAAAAAATGTTTTAAATTGCACATGGGTAGGTTAGAAAGAGGGTGATAGATTATGCAAATAAAAAAATAAGGGAAGAAAAAAACAGTCTTCCCTTCCCCTATCAACAAAGTTTGATTAGGAAGAATATATAAAGGAAGAGTTTTAGCATAGGAGAAAAAAAAATTATCAGGTAAATACAATTACTGAAAAAATGGTAAAAAAGTAAGTTTGATGGTAAAATTGAAAAAAAAGTTGTTTGGTAGGATAAAATATTATTGAAAAAATTGATTAAAGTTTTCTAATTCTATGTTTGGTTGAATATAAAATATTGATGAGAAAATAAGTTAAAATTACAAAAATAACCACTCTACTTTTTGAATCTCCACAGAAGAAAGAGATTGAGAAAAGGTACTCCATTAGGGTCAATTTTGTTTTCATTTCAACCTCTCTTTTTTTCTTTCCCTAGTAATGTTCAAAATACCATCTCTCATTTGAGTTTTTGGAACAGTATTTTTCCTGAAACTTTACAAACAAATAGAGATGGATGGGCAATGGATTTTCCTAGTTAAATGTTTTTGAGTCTTGTACCAAACAGGGTCAAATTGAAATATCAATAGAAGTTGCCTAGGTATTTATAACAAAAACCTCTACCAAACACCCCAAAGATACAAAGGGAGAGTTTTAGCAGCCACCAAAGTGGTTTGCATCTAAGTTTCAACAGCTTTATATATCTCAAACAGTATTGCTCTTTTTCTTCGAAGAAGTTGCTGTGAAAACAATTAATTCATATTGTAGAGCAACCTCTTCTCCTCTTACACACAATTCTTGTTTTCTCTTGGATTCAAATCACTTTTTTCTTCGAAGTTCTACGTAGTATTCATCGCTCAAAGTTGCCCCTGATGCTTGGCAATTAGTCATTGATAAACTATTCAAGGATCATGCTCATGCTTGCCTTCTACAACTCAAAGCCAGCATCTATATTCTCAAAAAGGGTGTAGCATAAATAATCTTCTTCATGATTTTCACCATCTAATTTCTTCTCCTACTTTGTTGCATTGTGATAACTTAATTAAGTGCTACTTACTTAGCACATAATCTAGTATTGCACCATGCAAGCATTTGGAGATTGATTAATTACAGTTTATTACATATGAAATTTTGCAAAATGAAGTACAATTACATCACATCTCTACATATCAACAAGTTGCAAATATCTTTAAGAAGGTTTTATTTTTTCCCAAGTTCCATTATCTTCAAAACAATTTAACAATTTTGCTCAAACTGACAGGGTAGAATAAGATAAAATTTAATTTAAAGATACATTTGTTCTGCTAAGAAAAAAATATAAACTTTTGTTTTTAAGTTAAAGATAACCTTCTATCCATCTTATTTACTAATGCTTTTTATTGTATTCTATTATATTACAAATATCAAATCAATAATGAATATTGTCGGAAAATTTTTTTCCCTTTAATTCTTTAAATCCCATTTTCTCTTTTTTGCTTACAAAAATAATAACTGAGATCATTCCCATTTATTTTAGGTATAAAAATTAGGGATACAATGATCTGACACCCGGCAGCGTGTGCAGAGTCTATGACACCCAGCATTTACAAGTGAAGCAGTTTTATCAGAATGGTGATCATAATTCTATTCCCACTACCTAATGTCAACAAAAGTTCCCATCAACCCCCTCTGTTTTGTAACACACATATTCACACCTTGTGATATCACCAATAATGCCTTTAAATTTGATGAATAAAAATAATAAATTTAAAAGAAAATAAAAATTTTGAGCTGATTTTAATAGTATAGTGTGATTTCTGCATTATTATAATTTTATTTTAATGCCCTTCTTATAATAAAGTAAGACACAAATTATCTTTATGATGGACTCCTACGTGAATGATGGTAGCTAGGTCCCCCACAATCAACTGAGTCATTAATCTCACAAAATGAGTAAAAGGAGAGGATCAAATATTTGTGACTCATGTTATTACTTTTACTTGTAGTTACTACACAGTGAGGTAGCAGTATATCAAACAGTTATTTAAGGTTTGATATTTCGCTTTCACCTATAAGGAATATCTTGTCCCCATTTTCTTGGTAGTTACTAATGCATATAGCAAATAACCGAACAAAATTATAATATGAATAAAAAAAAATACGTAAAAATTAAACCAAAATTTATGAGCTGGACCTACTGGTGGAGTTGAATAAATGGTTGTGGCTTGAGAAGTTTGCCGAAATTGAAATCATGACCGCTGTCTAACTCCTCTATGTCTCAGTAAACAGAACGGTAAGCCATAGGAATAGATAAAAACAAAGCATGTGAGATACGAGTCATCACAAATATGAAGCTATATACGTACAGCGAGATAGGTTATATTTATAAATTCTTATACACTACACGCTATGTACTATGGGTAATACATATTTAAATAGTATATATTACTCATAATATATAGTGTAGTTTGTGAATATAACCATACTCATGTGTAACACATAAATCATACTGTTGTTTCAACCATAAATATTATAATATATTACCTTCTTCTGCCTTTGCTGATGATAGATGATTCATGAACTTGGGGTGAGTATTTTTTCAAGATGGAGGGAAGCCTTTGCGAACCCAGAAGGAAAACAGGTGGTGGGGCCCTAAGAATTTTTTTTACAATATATATTTAGCTTTCGTAATTTTGATTCGGATGTGGTGAAAATAGTCAGTTTTGATTAGTTTTTTGGCACCCATTGGACTACTAAAAATTAAAATCACTCTCCGTTAAACTCGACTAGCGAACCACTAAAATCACTCCCCGTTAAACCTGACTAAAGAGTGTGGGATTTAACGACTAAACCCATTGGACAAGAATTATTATTTTTTAGTAAATTGAAAACGGTATCATTCATTTATTTCACCACACCCAAATGTATATGTAAGAGAGAGGGGTATAAATGTGAGATTTGCTTGTTGGTGGGGTTATATAAAGGAGGATAAGATGTTATAGATCCCCAACTATTAAAGATATAGGTAGGTAAAGGGGAAGCAAGGGAAGAGAAGGAATCAGATAGGGCCTGCATAATTGATTGTGAGGATTTGCTTGATGGAAGAACATCTTAGTCCAATAACTGTTACACATCTCCTTCAACACACACTCAGGAGCTTGTGCAACCATGAAAATTCTCAATGGGTCTATGCAGTCTTCTGGAGGATCTTGCCTAGAAACTACCCACCACCCAAGTAAGGAGAGAAAAATATATAGTCCAGCTAAATGTTAATGTACACAGATTTTGATATTTTAGGCACATACTAGCTAGCATAAGTATATAAAATGTAGACAGATTTCAAAGCTATTTTGTATGAATATGCTGACTATCTATGCTTGTATCTTTTTTATACAAAGATGGGAAAGTCAAGGGGCTTATGATAGATCCAGAGGAAACAGAAGGAACTGGTAATATTTTCTGTCTTAATTAGCTTCATTGTAATATATATTTATAAATTTTCATGCAGGACTATTGTATTTTTTGGTTAACTCATTTATGTATATGCATGCAGGATATTGGTCTGGGAAGATGGTTTCTGCAATTTTGCAGCCTCATCAACACCTGAAATTAACTCTGGCGATTGTCCCACCTCATCATCGGTTTATGGGAACTGTGAATCTCAACCCTACCAAGGGCTGCAACCTGAGCTCTTCTTCAAGATGTCACATGAGATCTATAACTACGGAGAAGGGTATGCATATCAATTAATAATAGTAAATTACCCATTTGAGTGTCATTATTCCCCATATTTTTGTTGTTGTGAGATTTTAAAAGCAAGAAGGTTAATTGATTTTTATGGACCAGTTTGATAGGGAAAGTGGCTGCAGATCACAGTCACAAGTGGATATACAAAGAACCTAATGATCAAGAAATCAACTTCTTGTCATCATGGCACAATTCAGCAGAATCGGTGAGAATTATAAAAAGAAACATCTTGCTTTATGCTTATGCTCACATAGTAAATATTAAAAATGCGAAATTTTCTTGCTAACGCAATCAAAGTTGAATTAGTGATTTCATAGGAATAAGTTATTCTACCTATTTTTTTTTTGCCTACTTTACCTACTCATTTTTAATACCATTGGATCAGAATATCCAGAGGAGAGAGAAATAGTGAAATTCTGATTCAATAATATTGAAGATGAGTAGGTAAAGTAGACAAGAAAATAGGTAAGTAAAATATCGTATCCATCCCGATTTCATAATGTCAAAAGTTCACCGAAGAGTATTCCATGTACATAGTGCATGATTTCATGTTCACACATATGATTCCCAAAGAAAAGAAAAAATTTGTCTATATCCTTACTAGTTATGTTCTTTTACAGTACCCTCGGACTTGGGAAGCCCAGTTTCAGTCTGGTATAAAGGTATGACTCATATTCATATGCGTAATTCCTTAGCTTTCTGAAAGGATCTTCTTTCTTTATTTGATTCAATTGTATAACTGCAGACCATAGCCCTTATTGCAGTAAGAGAAGGTGTTATTCAACTAGGAGCCATTCACAAGGTTCTCTCTCACACTCATTCACATATTCAATTGCAAAAATCTATTATACAATTGTAGTACTCATTTATATCATGTTCATTCTGTTACATTGTCTGTCCATAACACTCAAGGTGATTGAAGACCTGAGCTATGTGGTTCTCTTGAGAAAAAAGCTCAGCTACATTGAGAGCATACCAGGTGTGCTCTTACCACACCCATCATCTTCTACATACCCTTATAAGGTGGAAGGCTATGGTGCCCCAGAGCAATGGCATTTCCAAGGCAGTGTTACACCTTCAGCTGAATTATATGACCATTTCAACCAACCATTGAAGATAACTCCCTCAATGAGTAGCCTTGAGGCCTTACTCTCAAAGCTCCCCTCAGTGGTGCCACCACCACCCCCAACACAGTCACAGACTCATCCTTCTTGGTTAACCCAAAGGCACTTGGAATTCATGGATTTGCAAAATGTAATGGCAAAGCAAGAGTTAGATGAAGAGTTATATAGGCCTGAACTGCATATGGGTGAGAGTAGCAGTTCAATGCCAGGATACCACCATCAGCACCAAGATTAAAATGTAACAAGTGGAGGAGCAAATAATGGATTTTGAGAATGTAACTTGTAGTGGAGCCAATAAGGGATTTTGAGTATGAGGCTAATTACAACAAATGAGAATTAGTTGATTGAAAATTAGTCCTCATTAATTAAGTGCTAACAGTGTAGCTAGTTGTTAGCTTCTGTCTGACTATGTTTAGTTTATATATTTTAATTTTTAATTTTGGGAAAAACTACTCTAATATTGTTGAAGAGAAGTTTTCTTTTCTATACATCCATCGATTTTTGTGTAGCTTTTTTTTTATAAGTGAATAGACTCTATCCATAGTTGTGTCTATGGTAGGAAAGAATTATTCTCTTACAATATGAGATTAATAAAGTCCATTTTTTTTATTCACTAGTTTTGCTATAAAATAATAAAAAATGAATGTTGACAAGATAGGAGGTAATCATGGATCTGCAGCATCCCCGTTAAACATGGATGCTGACGAGAAAATCACCCCACAAGCTTTCAAGTGACACATGAATTTTGATAATTTAGTAAATAAAATGGTGAGTCAACTTATTTCTTTCTCAAAAGTGTTATTAAACTCGAGTTAACTCATTTATATTCTAAATAGTTCGCATTCACTCATTAATACATTATTCCATGGCTTAAAGCTTCAACAACCCTTAAGTGTGACTACTCTAGTTAGGACTCTAATTCAATGCACAGGAGAGGTTTATCTAACTTTCCCCTAAGGTTCCATACCCTTAAAACAATAATTATTAGCACAAAAGAGTGTGCAAGTCCTTGTCCTAGAGAATAGATAAAAGAATTTAACTTTAACGACATACTAAGTTCTGAATAGTCATTACTAATTCAAAAACTGGGATTTAATTGCTTTACCATAAATTATAATACTTTATCACTGCTAGAAAATGATGAAATTGTGACGGCAATTTACGACGGAAATTAAACCATCGCAAATTGCGATGGAAACCAATTGTGATGGGAATATGTCAAAATTTTGGTCGCTAAAAATTAGACGCAAATTTCATCGTGGCTCCATCGCAAATTCAGAAATCAATTCTGTCGCAAAAATGAAAAAGTTGCGATGTGTTATTGCTTGGAAATTTTTACGATGGGCAAATCGATTGTAAACCTGGGGAGCAATTTGCTATGGAATTTGCGACATTATTCTCCGAGATGATTTGCAACGGATATTGTGACAGAATTCCACTTGTATTTTGCGACAAAATTACATTCCTTCATAAATATTGAAATATAATTTTTCTAATTAATTGATAATCTTACATGTATCTTCTATAAATGAGTTATAGGAAACTGACAAGATGCTTGGTAATGATACTTCAATTTTAGAAGTATACATATAGGTCGCCTTTAAAAAGGCAAAAGGCATAGAAAATTTAGGAAGGTGTATAGTTATAAGCAGGGGGACTATATCAGGAAATAACGTAGGAGAAAAAGCTATCCCAGCCACATTGAAGACCTCTTAAGCATAATGGAATACATATTTTAATGATGACAAAGGATTTACAAAAAGTCTCAAATTGAAGATGGAGTTTGAAGATACAAGTGGTTAGATATTTTTAGATATTTTGTTACACACTATATTATATCATATAGTATCTACTAAGCTCCATTGCATGCCAATACATATAATTGCATATCATGCTAATTTCATAATAAATACAAATGATTAATATTTTGTTAAAAATAGTTTTTAAAATAAAATGAAAAATAGATTTTACAATTTGATAAACCAATAAGGTTCAGTACTTTAAAACAAAGCATATAGTATCACGTGAGTTTTAGGTTTTGATTACATAAATATAATAATAAAAAGAGAGAGAAGAAGTTACAGGTTTCAAAAATGTTACGTGAGTTTAACTTTTGGAAAACAAAATAATAAAAAGTAAACTTTCACATTTCAAACAAAAAGGTACGTGAGTCAGTCTCTTAAACTATATAATAATATAAAAGGTTTAACTTTACCAATCCACTTTACTTTTCCAAATGCTCTGCAATCAGTTTCAAAAATAAAAAAAGGGTACAAGAAAAAGACGCTGTGATTTTTTCTTTAGAAATTCAAGAGAGGTGAACACAAAAAGTAAATCAAGCTTCCGTCTTCGCGTTCATTCATTTGCACTGAATCTTTCTTTCTTCTATGAATCGACTTCTTCATCCTTCTCGCTTGAAGTTCTGCATTTTTCTTTAGAAAAGAAAATTATTTCCGTGCTGGGTTCTTCGATGCGCTTTCTCATATAATCAATGGTCTTTTGTGGATGCGTATATTGAATATTTGGAGTTACTCTGAGAACAACTCATATCATATTTTGGGGCTTTTTTATGGTATACTCAAGAAACTCAAATCTTTTATGAATCTTTGATTTGAAGCATTTTAGCTGAAATTTTCAGATCTGTTATTTCATATGCTTTAGGGATTTTGAGTTGTTTAATCTGAATATTAAATTCTTGAGTTGTTCATTAGTATAAAAATTTATTGTTAAAATTTGGAATCTGATTTTTGCATCTTGATTTTTCTGTTTTGATTTTATGTGAATATCTTAGAAATCTTGATGCTCTTTTTGTAAGATTTGTGTTTCTAATTTTTGGGAAATATTGATTAAAAATATTAAATCTGAATGTATCTTTACACCTTGTTATACTTTGTGTTAATTCAGATTTTTGTTTGAAATTTATTGTTTAGAAACCTAATCTTGAATTGTTCTAGAAATTTTATTGTTGGAATATTAAATCTGAATTTTCTGTTTTAATTGAAGTATATTGTGATTAAAATTCAGATTTCTTTTGGTTTATTATTAAAAGATTTATCTAGAACTAATTCTGAATTTTATGTGAAATTTTGAGATAAAATTCAAATCTGATTTTTCTGGTTATAATTGTGATATTCTTTTTAAACCAGATTTCTTGGTGTCCATTGATTAGAAAAATAATTGTGTAATATCCAAGCTCCTTTGTGCGTTAATTTTAGAGATTTTAATACATATGTCATTGGATTAATTTTCTGCATATGGCATAAATTTGTGGAGCTTAGTTTGATATTACTGTGATATATTTGATGTGATAGGACACTGTAATTTTGGATTATTTCACTTGTTACAATTCTGAAAATTCTGTATTGATTGTTAAAGTGGAGTAGTTGTCTGCTGTAAATCTGTCCTAGGTGTGTGGGTGCAACCGTGTGGGTTGGCGACCTTGTGCTTGGCTTGAGAGTGTGTCTCAAGGCCTGGAGCCTCAAGAATCCACTAGGGAGAGTGAAGGTCTTGTGAGAGGAGTTGGTGAACTTCGTAGGTTCGGCTTGAGAGTATTCTCAGAGCTTGGAGCAGTGTAGGCACTAGGAAGATTTTTGATATCTTGTTTGATTGCATGTGTGACGCGTGTTTGTAAAACTGGTACACTTGTGATAAATAAAATATCTGCACCTACTTCACTCTGGACGTAGCACCCTACTTAGGCTTAGTGGGTGTGAACCAAGATATATCGTGTGTCCATTGTCTCTCTGATTTAATTTCAGAATATTTTGTTTAGAGACTGACAGTTACACTAATTCTATTATAATTGCTGCGTTTATACTCTATAAATTGCTAAGGTACGCTTTCTGTTACTACATTGTTCTTAGCATTGCGAAAAACTATTTTGGGCATATAGGGATTGAAGAAAAATTGTGTAATTGTTTACTAAATTCAAAAAGATTTTTGAAAAAGTTGAGAACACCTATTCACCCCCCCTCTAGGTGTTCCGTAAGCGTCCTGTGTAAGAAGCCACTTGCCCAACACACATAAATTGAAAATTGTGCATCTGTAGTAGAACATAGACGTATAATTGTGATCCACAAATAACTTTTAGATATCAAGCTTTCATGATGCGGAGTTCTGGTATCAAGTGCAGTGATGTCCATAATGTGTAATATGCATCAAATGTCCCCGATAAGTCATGGTATCGTAAAGAATAGGCAGATGTTGTAATTGACGCAAGGACCATTGAAACAAACGACAACATGCAATTCGTCGAATAGTTCTAGCTGAACTTCGTCCAATTAATTGTAATCATTCATAATATGGATATGAAGGATATAATTTTAAATAATATACATGTCAAATCATCATCAAACTCATGGTTAATCTTCTAAGCAATTGTCGGCCATACTAATCGTCTTATCCACCATCATTTCACGAATCATCAATTTTATGCGAAGCAATTAAAGGTGAGATTATATCAAGAGAAACTTCATCAGGCATTTCATCGTAGGTCTTCACGAAATCAACATCTTCATCAATTATTATACTCATTCGATCCTCTGTACCTTAAATCAAACTTGTTTTGTATAATAACCCAAGTAATCAAATTAAATTAATTATATATTAATGTCTAATTAGAGGGTTAATTGAGTGAAAATCCTAAATTTTGGGTTAAAACCTCATCAGGGATAAAATGGCAATTTGACAAAAACTGCTCGATATTGGACTAATTCTGTAAAATACACTCCACCTAAGCCCATAAAATTATGGAATCAAACTAGAATGATGATAATTAGATGAGAAATATAATTATATGATTAGTTACTTTTCGGGAAAAAGTACAATTAATGAAGATTCCGAGTAAAAATGTAATTGTCCAAAAGTTACCCGAAACTTTAAAATGTTGTAGTGACATATCATTAAGTGAATTTGGTGAATGTCAAAATTAAATGTTGGATGACTTAATCCTTGGATTGGAGGTGGATTTGTTGAGATTTTATTGAGGGTAGATTGGTATTTTCACACTAAAAGTGGTAAAAATTCAAGTGATTTTTCCCTCACTTTCTCTCTCCAATTTCAGGCATCCTCTCCAAGAATAGCCCCCCCATCCCACCGTAGCCAAGGAACTCAAGCACACAACTCACTTATTTCTACATCAAAACCCTTAGTGTTTCACATGAAAGTAATTGGAAATCACCAAACTAACTAGAATCTAGCCTTAGTTTCCTCCAAAAATCATTGTGTGGAGAGATC